TTAGCTCTGCTGCTTCTCTATTTATGGACAAGCTATGAAAGCAGTTTGTCAGCAACTTTTTTTGAGTGCTCACATTACCAAATACATCCATTCTCAGCTCACTGTAATGTAATTATCAAACTCGGCAGCAAGCTGATAACACTGCTAAAGGAAAATCCCAACCTGCCTCAGTGTTTTCATGCTGTAATTGAAAACAGATGGCAACTTGTGTAATTTATGCTTTTCTACAATAAGTAACATGTTGGTATAAGATAAGAATTCTAAGACTGAATTGCATCTGCTTCAACAACACCATATGCTAGTGCATAGCATAAATATTTATCCAAGTCTACTCCATCTTCTCATTTAAAGCTCAATTCCATGAAAAAATGAAAGTACCCTTCAGATACCTTCAATTAGCACTGAAGCACCTCTGGAGTGCTTTAAAAGGCTAGAGGCCCAGCATCAAACACTTCGGTACCTTCTCTTTCCTAAAATTCACAGAGAGATTTAAATGAAGGCATGTACATTGTGCCTTATTGATACAATGAAAATCCCAGCTTTCAAGCTCCCAATACCCCACCTTTAGGAGTTACAAGGAAGTTTCTCACTTACATATCCATGCTTCTCTGTTTCTCCCACTATGTTGTAAAAGACTTGGACTTGGGATACTTTTTCCTGAAGGAATTTTTTTAAAGGATTTTTAGACTGGTTTATCTTGCTTTTCAAACAGTTATGYAATCCTCACATTTGAGGTCAGGCTGGCAAGGACCATGGAATGGGTTTTGTTTTTCTCTGCAGCATGAGGTACATTCAACTTCATGAGAATCTCACAGTTCAAATTTCTTCCAGTTGCAGGAATATAAGGTATTGGCAATTCATCCACATCATATGGTTTTGGGGTGGTTTTCACCCCACTAGATACCTCTAATGTGTGCCTTTCAGTTTTCCATGTCACAAGCCTGTAATATTTTGTTATTTTGTCAGTACTTGAATTCTTTGGAATAACCAGATAGTACAGATCCTCCTTTGATTGCATAAAATTGAGCTTGATGACCTTGAYGAAGTGACATCAATCAGCTTCTTGACACAGTGGCAACCCAGTCAGACTCTGCTAGCGAAATGATTTGTGAAACTGGACCTGAAATAATCAYTTGTGAATGCAGAAGACAAATGCACAGGCAGAAAATTTAAGAAGCTGATCCCCTCCCTGTGAAAGCTTTTAGAGTTCAGGGGAGCAGAACCATGCTGAAAGGGTCCTGGCTGCACATCACAGCTCCCAAGCTGAGCTCCAAACAGAAGGGGTTGGTACCAGTGACAATAGGTGGGCCTTCAAACATCCTGCTGCTGACTGAAATGAAGAACTAGGCCAGAAAAGGCAAGAAGAATAGGCTTGAAAAGCTTGAACAATTTGTATGATTTGAGGCAATTTGTATGATTTGAGGACCTTAGGTGTAACAGCTATAAACACTAATTTGCTAAGAATCAGTTTAAGGAATCAGACATCCTTCTTTAACAGTTTGAGCGGGGATTTCTCCAGCCAGTGGGAAGAACAGATGATCAGCAAAATGAGTAATTAATTTGTCTCTCTCACAAGCTTCATACTTAGCTAAGTCTTCTTGTTCCATCATACTCTGTCACAGTTATGMCACGCTAAATAACAATGTGATACATAATTTAAGTCACTAGTTTGAAGTTAAGTTGTAACTTCTCAAAGAATATTTGCACCTTAAAAACAGAAATGAACTTACAGAATAAATCGCTGAAAAAAAAGAGAAAAAGTTTTACTGACAACAGCTGGCAATATTTAGCAGTGTCATCTGCAGAAAACCAGATTTTTCAGCCAGTCAATAATGAATATTAAAGCAACCCAGGAACTTCAGAATCCTGCTGTTCCTGTCTGCACTGCTGACGACAGCAGACAGCTACACAGAGCTGCAAATAACTCAGAAGAACGCATCGCAACACTGACTCCTTTCATAGCCTCGCGTCGCCTCCAGCTCCCACTTGTTAATGCGCTTACAGCAACCACTCTCCTCACAACACTGTCAGAAGCAACCACACTTCAGCAAACCAGGCCCAAAAATGCTTTAATAAAGCTAATTGACTAGATATTTACTGAATTATTTTCTCAGCTTCACACCTGAAACCTCAGACTGTGAGTGGTAATCCTATTTACCAGCCCCAGATGAGGTATCAAGTCCTAAAGCTTACAGCCTCTCATACATCTTCAGCAGACCATGCTRGTAGGGATTTTGTCAGAAATAAATTGTCTGAAAATGCCCCCACAAAGGATGTCACACGTAAGGAGATGGCAAGTGCTGCCACGCCGAGGTGTGCGTGTGACAGAGCCCACGTGTCCCAGCCGCCCGCGCCGTGCCTGGACACTGCCACTGCCACTGCCACTGCCACTGCCACTGCCACTGCCACTGCCACTGCCACTGCGTGCGGGCAGAGCTCTGCCCCGAGCTCATTGAGCTTTCTACTCAGATTCCCAACTCACAGCACTTTGGAGCAGGCCAAGAGCCCGGCCAAGGTCAAACTGAAAGCAAGCCACCACTGAACCCAGCAGGTAGGTTGAGCCTGAAATGTTTACTGCTTTCTGTAACACATGGCAGAATTTTAAAGGCACAAACAGAGGTCCTACAATGAGATTGCAAGCAGCAGTTCTCTCTCAACACTATGTCCAGCACAATGCAAAGACAGGAAAATAGTGCTCTCCAAAAGAGGCAAGTGCAAAATCACCAGCTTTACAAATAAAGACACTTATAAAAACAATTACAGTGGATGCATCTCCTTAGGAGGAAAATCCCTGCTGCTACTGCCAAGAACTTCTCTACAAACTGCAATGCCAAGGCTTGGCTCTTCTTCAAAATCTTGCCCTTTTCATCATCGCCAACTCCCCTTGTTAGCGCTTCTTTGGTGTAGCACTCCTTTGCAGACAAAAGCCTCTTGGACCAGCCCACTAGAAGTTACCATGCCCAACAGCCTATTTTCAAAATCCCCTTCCTGCAGCTTCCACACAGGAGAATGTTTAATTTCAAGGAGCTGTCATCTAAAGCCTGTCATTTGATTCCTTTATATTCGCCAGATTGAGGAGTTCTGTAAACAGATGGATTAAGTGACATAGATTTTTTTTTTAAATTTCAAATACTGCACTATGATTTACATACTTATTGCCATGGGAACATCTCAACAAAAGCCTTTATTTTCAAAGAAAACACCATTTCTTCACTAGGCTGAAGGTATTCAGCATTTCCAAAAATGGGGCAACAACTTTTGTGTCTAAAGTGGGCCTCATCGCATATACRGCTATACATTTTTATGTGCAATTCTGCTCTGAAAAACGAATTCATACAAAGATAACTGTTTTGGAAACAATCAGATCCGTCCTTGTGTAAAATCAAGGCAATATATCCCAGTTTTACAACACCGTTTGCTCCCCTCAGGAGAATGGACTATTTTACTTTCTTCTGTCTTGAATGGTTCAGGTAGACCTCTGCAACCCCATGGGATTTTACATAGGACACCACAGTGATGTTGTCAGGTTTCAGAATTGCTCCACTTTACTGCTAACTTCTATATTCAGAGAATAAAAGGTGMTGAAAAATACTAAATTACTAAGTTCAGTATCTAGAACATACACATGAGTTCATTTATCATTTTTAAATTTAGGTGCTTTAAGTTTTAGGCAAGATTATTATTTGAAAATTATATTCTTCATAAAAAAAATTGTAACTGTATATTATATTTAGGTGTTGTATAAAACATATAAAAAAWTTCCAGCTCCTTCAGAATTCAAGCTGTTTGCCAGGAGGATGTGTCTGGGTGCTGCATGCACCAACAAGTTCTGCAGCTGCCATTCCCTGTCCCAGGGGTTTTGCCTAACTGTAYTAAAAAAAAAAAAAAGTTTCAAAGACAGTATGTTCTTGAAAGTTTCATTTAAAAAAGAATCATCAGCCAGAGAGCAGAAACCCCTGTTGTGYACTTGCTAAGGAGGGTCCCATGGCAGTGCAGTGGGCAGAATGTGCATTCCTGGAGCTGAAGCCTCCAGCCTGGTGGGTGTGAATACACAGATGAAAGGCAGCTGGGATGAGTGTGATGGGGAAGAGATATGAATTAGAAGGCTACACAAAATTCATAGCAAACTGGGCTGCATGTGGAATACACCTGAAACCTTCATCTGGCTTGCTGCCATACAATAATGCATGGCATAAACTGGTAATTTAATCTTTCTGGCCATTGCAGCAGGTGTAGCAGCTAATTTAATTTTCTTGCTTTTATCTGTAATTAGCATAATAGCTCTCCTTTMTTTTTCTCTTTGTACAAGGCAAAGATTAATTCATAGATATATGMAGGCTGTGATCCAATCCCACAGGTAAGTCTGCATTAGCAATATAAAAGCTAAAGCGGAATGTGTATTTATTGATTATTAAATCATGTATGAAACTATTTCAGCCCTTCATGAAATATKAAAGTATCATCCGTTGGTCTTTCCAAATTGTCTTGAATCGTRACTGCTTTACAGTGAACAATGGGCTATGCTAGCTTCGCTTCCACCAGGTATGTCTGACTTTGCCTCTTCCTCTACAGGTAAAGTCCAAAAGCTACATACCAGCAATCACATAAATACAAAGTAAAGAGGGAAGCTAAAATTGTACAGAGTTGAAAAAAAACCCATGAAAATTAAAAAAAAAAAGAAGTCAAGAAAACAGAATACCACCACCACCAAAAGCAGCCAACCACATGAATAAAAACCCACCCCAAAAAGGGAAAAGGTTAAGAAAGCAACYTGGAAAGGATAATCGAGTCTCATGTGAAAAAGCAACTTCAAGAATCTCAAGGACAGAAGAAAAATAGGAGGGAGTTGAAAGGCAGCAGAACTCACTGTGCAAAAATGCYTGAAACCGAGACAAAGGCTGGAAACAAAAGCACCTCTCCCTCCCCAAATACAGGCAGCCCAAGACTTTCACGGAGCAGCACAAATTCTCCTGGGAAATTACCCTGTTTTGAAAACCCACCTTCATCCCCGCTGCAGCTGCTGGCCCACTGGGATCCACGGCCTGGATGTGGCAGGGTTTGCTCCCCCTCACCACAAAGCCCCAGCCCACAGCATCACCAACGATCTGGAAAGAGGAAAGGACGTGGTCACTTTCAAGCAGCTCCATGAAATTCACGGGGGCAACTTCTAAATGGTCGAAGATACAATTTCAAAATCTCTATACTTCCAACACAGAGTACAGGCTGCTCATGGGACTCATGGGAAAGGCTCTATCGAAATGATTCCTCTTGCTTTTAATGAACTATTTTTTGTTGAATTAGGAGGCTGTAAAAGCAATGCTTCCAATGACTAGGTTCCCAAATGTCTTTAAAGAAAGGCTCTAACAATGTCTGTGAGTTAAAATTTCTGTCCCATCATATAGAAGGACCCTGGCAGAAAACTTTATTTGGGTAGGTGATCACTCCTGCACAGCAGGAGCACCAAGCTCAGATGAGTTTGTGTGATACAAATGTTGTTGCCTTTATGTAATTTTACACACCTTTTAAATCAGCAGTATCACACTGTCATAAGGACAGGATAAACAATGCTGAATCAGACGTGAAATTTGTGGAAGTACTGCTAATGGAATTTTGGATTTTAAAGTACAAACCTCATCAAATGCAAATAAGCTCTAATTATCCCATCAGAAAATGTCTGTTTGGATTGCTCTATGCATACAACATGCAGAAAACAAAGAAAAATACTGGAGACATACCGTAAAAGTTTTTCTAACATATGGAGCTCCAGGCATCAAGAGCTCATCAGCAGTCACAGGTCTCTTTAATACTGTGGAGGTACAGAAATGAATATTCAGTAAAAACAGTCCTCTGGAGTTTCTCCTAATAAATAAAATCCAGTGTTGGGATACGTCTTTTTGGTCCCACTTCCCAAACATACTTTCAGCTCTTGCAGCCTTGCTTAAAAGTAGTAAGAGAACCAAGGAAAAGCTTGCTCAGAATAACTCTGAGCATAAATGATGAGATCTTTGGAAAATTGGGRCATTTAACCAACAGATTTTGTTGTCTGCAATCAAAATCCCCTAAACATTATCACAAGAATCAGAAGTGGCTTTTCCTGTGTCCAATGTTGAAAGAAGTGACCAACCTTCCTGGCATGGAGMAGCTTTCCTTCCCAGTTYAYTGTGTGCTTTGTTGGGKGCTCTCTGCTATTTCATCTGAGTCRGGTTTGAATCACAGAATTAAGCAACAAAAAAATCCTGCTTGGGTGAGGAATTATCTCAAGAGATTTCTGCAACTGTAGGCACAGATTTATGACTCCCATGTTATCCAGGGACAGACTAGATAAGCTACAGCTGCCTGGGATTTAAATGAATGGAAATACCAGTAAGTTTCTGCAGGTCCCCACTGCCTTCATATGTAATGGCATGATTTTCCTCTGAACAAATTAAATTTAAAATTCTGCCAAATCAAATCAATACCATTCCATGTACAATTTTTCATCCGTCCATAAATGCTTCACAAGATAAAGGACATCATAAAGATATATGTTCACCCTATTTGCCTCCTTCACCCTTAAAATTATGGACAGTTTTCTTTTAGTGGTAAATAACTTTGACAGCATCTGTCTTTTCAGTCACAGGTGGGAGACAAAATTTCCCACAGATGGTATTTGAAGACATTCTTGACTTTGTTAATGACATTCATGGGAGCAGAGAGAATTCTAGCACACAAACGGATACTTTTTTTTTTTTTTACTTTCCCATGCATTTTGACCAACTGTCATAGAGCCAGTGTTACACTTTGCAGAGCRTGTCTCTGCAGTGAAAAAACAGAACGATTGTGCCCATTTGACAAGTCAGAATCAGGTAAATCATGCATGCAGGGCTCCCTTATGTACGTCCCTTCATTACACCYCCAGAATTTTTTTTTTGTTTGATGGTTGTTTTTCTACATGATTGGCCAAGTCATGATCTGGGTGTTTTTTAAGTGTTTGCCTGCAGGAGAGCCCGTCTGACAATAAATACACCTCTGCCTTGTGTTTATTAACACGTAGTTTAGCAACACGCTCTGGGTCTGGATAGCAGGAAGCTATTTGTRAATAAAGTCTCTTTATAGTCAGCAGAAGAKKAAAAAWTTCTCATAACATTTRCATCTGACAGYTTTACATTAACCTATTCAAGCTGAYGTGTGGATTTGTACTTGTGCTCTGGGAGAAATAACCCTACATTGCCAGTAATTGTATAATTCTTAAAAATCAATCTGTTTATAAGCCCATTGCTGTCTTCTTTCGAATATGAGTMTGTTAAAGCTACTCAGAGTTTGAAAACTAGTCCTAAGGGAAAATTTCCTCTAAAAAATTTATGCAAGAGCAACATCAGCCTGTTCCTTTTCTTCCAGTGTTGTGTAATCAACTGCATTAAAATAAACTTGTTCTCACTACTCACAGACTGACACTTCATATAAAATCAGAACCATAAATGWACGGAATAGTTGGCATACTTCAGATAACACACCCATTCATGGATAGCACATGAGTGCTGTTTTATCTGTCTACAAAATTTTCAGGGTTGTAATTAGTGTACTGGGGACAAACAGCTCCCCACACAAAACCAACCAGAGTGTTTCTGGGAAATATACCTGAGATATTCTGCCAAAACATGATCCTGTGGCACCTTTCATATAGGGCCAAGCCCCTTGCACAAAGGGGTGAGCATATTGGAAGGTGGTGTTGAACACCCAACAGAAACACACTCCGAGGATGAAATGGCCACTAGAACTGAGAGATTTCCTTTGCTGGGCAGGTCTGCTGTTGGCTTCTGAGCATATAATCCTGCTGAGTCCTTCCAATTATTCTAGTTCAGAATTTCATACTGAATTCCCAGCAGAGCCTAAGGAGAGGGAAGGAAATGTGCTAAAAGGAGAGAGAAGGCAAATATCCTTCCCTTTCTGACGGCCACTCTGCACAGCAGGAGTGAAATGCACTTTAGTCCGCTCATCTCCGGAGTTAATGGTCAATGTTTGGAACAGCATTCACCCAGTGCTTGAGGCACTCTCTTGTAATCACTCYAAACAGCATCCCTCTGAAAGCAAGGATTACACATATCCACTGAAGCCTTATCCCATTCTACAGTACTCCCCACACCACTAGCAGAGACTTGGTGAATTTGAAATAGTAAAGAACAAAAAGGGCAGCAGAGACTTTGTTTGATATTCACGGCTGTTTCTGAGGGAAACAGAGAGGCTGAAATAATATCTATCTTGGTCTGTTTTTCCCTTCCCAGATGTACAGTAAGAAACAATTTTAAGTGAACTGTGAAAGAATGGGTGTGTTTAACCTTTCGGCGTGGGATAGGAAATCCTTTCAAAAGGAAAATAAGCTTCAACACTATTTCTACCTTCTGAAACAGACCAGTGTTAAGACTTAAAACAAATGAAAATGTTCAAATGGGCTCTGACAGGCTGAAACAATGCTGCCTCAGTGGTTTTTAGAGGCTGCTGTTTTCTGAGAGGTGTTATTTCACAGCAGCCCAAGCGGTCACTGGATAGTTAAATTCTCTGACTTGCACCAAAAGAATGTCTCTAGGAGGAGATTTGAATCGGTTCAGAGCTTGGCAGTGAAGAGGCTAATCTAGGCCTCTGACTGCATGTCCTCCTAAGAGATAAACTGCAGCTCAAACCACAACTTGGACTTGACACAGAGATTACTGAAGGCAGGCGTCTGGCTTGTGTTCAACAGGACTTCAGGCTAGAAGATGATAATAGTTCCCTCTGGCCTACAAAACCTGTGACTCTGTGAATTTTTAATGTATTCTTGGAAACACAAGCTTAGGCGTGATGATAGGCATTCTTCACATCGCCTTCTCCCCRAAGAGATGTCTGCACCCTGCCTGCTGAGCATTGTAAGCCATGCTGGTGCTCACCAGATTTGGGGTTGCAGAGCACAGGGGGACTGCTGCTGAGCGTTGGGCTGCTGCTGAAGTACCCGCTGCTGCCACAGCTACTCATGCTGCTCCTCCGCACTGCCGACACGATCTTTATCTCCTTGGTGGGACTCACTACAAGCAGGGAAAAAGCAGAGAAAGGGAGCTGGTGTCAGTTATTAAGCCATATACTTTTTTTTTTTTTTTAAATGAGACAGCAACAAGCCACACTTTCACTGCCAACTGGGAATGAGTTAGTGTGTCCTACATAGTTGGACAAGTCACGCATCAGAGTAATGCTGCAACCAGCAAGATGGCTGAACTGCTCCCATTGCACTGTCTTCTAAAAGGCACATGGGGAACTACGTTTTTCCAGTTTTCCTTTCACTTCTTTCAGTCTTTACCAGATATTGCCGTACACAAATGCTGGAGGGTTCCTTTCTCCCACTTTTCATCTTCTTGGAAAGTCTACATAGAATATATGACAAATTACTTTGAGCTTGGGGTACTTTAAYCAGTTCATTTTGATCAGATTCTGAAATGCTATTGATACCGATACACTCCAGAGAGCTATAGATTTGGTAAACTCAGTGAATGGACAATGCCTATGAACAGGGACACATAACAACCAGCCCTGCTTTTTTTTTTCTAACACTGAAATGCCTTGTCCAAAACCAATTTTTTAACATTCCATGGAGTCACTCTTCATGCAGCAGTATAATTAGTGAGTCACCTGAGAGAAAACTGGTGTGTTTCCTGTTGTCATGGTTCTGTTTGCGCAGGCAAAATGGGCTGTCATGGCTTTCTGGCATCAAGCGAGATTTCTCAGTGAGGAGCTCCATTAATCGCCGCCGCCGGCGGAAATTCATTCTGCACTGGTAGAGCAAGTTGCTGTCCATAAAATGGTGCTTGTTGGACACTGGGAAAAGAAATGGATAGAAAATCTGTGCCTGGTAGGACTGAAATCCAAGCCTAGCCATGTACACTACAGACCTGGCTGTAAGGAAGCAATGCTCAGAGCTCTCCTCTTACACTGTACAGGCTCAGAAGGAGGAGGAAGGTGGTCAGCTTCACATGGGTGGCTTCAATATAAACCCTTTATTGCAACAATTACAAAGTAGGAATTGCAGTGACAAACGTTGAAAGGAATCTTTTACACTACCTTGATAAATTATGTGCACTTCTTATTGCCAAGTGGAAACAGAAGCACTTTGCCTCTCCATGGCAGGTTGCATAACAGTCCCCCTGCATGCACGCTTCCTCAATATGCCGCTTGCTTCTGCTGGTCACTACAGACCAGACTTTGCTCCTTATGTCAAGTTTTGTGTAAATTCATCAGTATAGGACAGCCCCTGGGARCTCTGTCCAACTACCTTGCTCAGAGCTATAGGGCAGCAAAGAATCAAGACCTGTGTGTATTTCCTCTGTCTTGTTCACCACAGACACCRTGTCCCAGACATTTCCTGCAGGCGACTTCCCTGCTCACATGGATACACAAGGTTTGGGAACAGGCACCTGGCCAAAAATCATTTCTTACAATAATGAACAAGAATCTTAATTGCAACCTGTTTTGACACTGAGAGCAAATCCCAGGCTGCTGGTGTCAGAGCAAGAGCATCAAGCCTACCCCCAGAGTGCAACATCACCRTAACGTCTGCGAGTTTGCTGCCACTGATGCTGTGTCTTAACAGCAATGAAAAATGCAGTAGCTGGATGCAGCTCTGTGCCACGTCCTGAAAGTGCTCTGATTCCTGCAGGTCCTGATTGCAGGAAAGCCCTCTGGAGTGCCCGCTGCATCAGTACTGCAGCACCCGAAACAGCTGCAGTAGGTGTTTGGCAGAATTTTTCTCCATTTTCACCCAGCTTCTGTTATCTTGTTCCACAGAAATAATTTCCACAGTCGACCTTTTCAATGAAGAATACAGATTCTGGATTTACCTAGTTTATAAATTGCATTTCTTGCAACACTGAATCATAAGAACTGGTGGGCTATAGATCTTTATGTGTGAAGTGTAAATAACAACACAGGTATGCACTGAGGTCAGTAAAGTCTTTGACTACATGACTCAGTCACACTGCAGACACAGAACTTTTGCTCTGTCCAATACATGGGGTTTAAAAGCCAGCAGAGTCCAAGGTGCTACACAAGACCCAGAGCCTGGAGCCCTGCTGGCCTGCTYTCTCTTCATTCTCATCCCCCACGCAGTCTTTCTTGCTCTCATCCCTTCTTAACACCTCCCTGTATCTCAGATTATTCTTCATGGACCCCACAGAACTATACCACACATGRCAATCTTACAGAATAGGCTGTATTGACACATAAACTGCCAGTAAGTCATTTGATGTTTGTCATTTGTGAGCTAAAGAAATAACCTTGAAGAAGAAAAAGTCCAGTCACCTTCTCCAGGGATGTCAAGTCACCCAGACAATAAGGAGGATGCCAGTCCTAGATATGATCCTCACGGCATCTTCTATGTGGATGCAGAAACTGCCTTACAAGGTCAGACCATCTTGCAAACAAGCATGTCCCTTGCCTGCCTGGGGCACTGTCAGAGGCCACTGTCTGTACAAATGGATTTCTGCCTTTGGGACRCAAGGAATAACCAGGACACAGGAACTTTCTGAACTGCACCTGCTTGTGCYCAAGCTGCCTCACAGACCATCTGCCCCAGAGCTGCACAGCTCAGGCTSTAAGGCATCCCTTAGATTGCCTGGCTCTGTCAAAGGTCTTTGGAAGAGTCAGTGCTACTTGGTTTTTGTCTGCTTCAGTTTGGTGCTGTGTCCTCAGGGATTCAAAATGGTTTTTTTAAGCCAAATTTAGCATCGCAAGTGACTCATTACTTATTGCAGGCACACACTGCTGCTGTGCTCCCCATTTTGGATACACATCATATGCACTACTATGAAACAACCCTTACTAACAATCACTGGTTTTGAAGAAAGGAAGTCGAGGAGGAGAGATCTGGAGATTTGCCTACATCCCCAAAAGGATTCGTTATTAGAGGCAGAGTTAGTACGTAGGTGTTCACAGCTACCAGTTTCATTTTAAGATCACTGACACAATAAATAAAAGTAGCAATATCTATCAATATCTTACAACATTATTAGAATAAGGTAATTTAAAGACCAAAAAAAAATTTTTTTTGAGGCCATGGCAAACTCAGACTTAAAAAGGCAAGCTCTATTTATTCAGCACTACTGTGATTCTTCATYGTAAATGAAAGAGGGCTCCACAAATGCTCCACTGGAAACAGAACTACTGTGGCCAACTATTCACAAKGCAAAAAGTATAAATATGGTTTCTGAGTCCAGTTAAATATTATGACACCACAGCTTTTAACTAAAATTATTCTGTTATTTGTGTCATTAACTGAAGTGCTCTGAGKGTATTCAGAAATCACAATAATCACAGATAAACACACATTCGTGCTGCAGACATTGTCAAGCATTCTGAAATTCAAGAATTACTGACCATGAAACTAGATAATGTAAACATTTTTATGCCAAGATACTGAACATATTTTAGAATAACAATACTTGTTTTGACTGAAATATTGTAATATTTATATATTAAAACAACAACGCTTAGGTTTTCCATTGAAKTAATTAATGTCTGCTGTAACTATTTTAATCCACAGAAGGGAAAATTTTCTGCAATAAATGTATGCAAGTGGAAAAGCTAAGTCCAATGACTGTGCTGGAGAATATTTGTATATGATTTACACAACGAAGGGTTTGCAGCTGAAATGCTTGTGACAAGTAGCATCAGTATAGAATGTGGAGTGCTCCTTGAATTCCATAATTTAACCTCCTCATTTCTAAGGATAGTTCGCATTTCATGTGAGTGACACAGTAACAGCRTGCATCCTCAATTTGAGCAAATCAWGTGTTTGTAGCATCATGTAATTTTTTTACATATTTAAAAAGAAGCTAAAAATAGAAATATGAGTAGTATAACTCAGACTGCCTYCTTGTGCATACATCATCAAATAAAATCTCTGACCAAAATGATTACTGTGCCTCATAGGGTTGTTCGTTTTTTCTTTAATCATCTGATTTATTCATTATTTGTGMTGAAATCTCCAGGCTGTGACTGCCTAAAGATGAGTGTGTCTGGAAGGGTGTGGRAATAGGGATTTCCAGACCATGGGTCAGAAGGAAGAGGTTGAGGAGGGGGAGGAAGACATGGGTGCTGGCTGCCTATGAAAGCACTCCTCAGGTGCAGTGGCTGACTTTCTGCAAGAACCAGCAGCTGCACTTGCCCTTGTCTTTGGTAAATCACACTCTGTGAATGCTGGCTGCAAACACAGAAGGCTGGGTTTGTTMCACTGGCACAGGTGCAGCCACGGGTGCTCAGCTCAACTGCTTCAGGAGCCCACATTTTGCTGCAAGCAGCAGAGAAAAGTGGGAGTGAGAAGCTTTTCCAAATCGATGGCAGAATGCTGAGAGGGCTGCACGGACTTGCCCAGGAGTGGTTTCTTTAAAGGTAATGTAGAGGTTGTTACCTCTGGGCGTTGACTCAGAGGCAGTAGCAGATAAACTTGACAAGGCTCTTGCTCCAGGTATCTGCACCTCTCACAGAAGCTGCTGGTCCAGATAGGGATTGACATTACTGCTCCTGAATTAGTTCACTGCCCTTCACGGTGCAGCGTAGRAAGGCAAGCTGGCACCCATTTCAGTTTGCCTTTAATAGGGACCATGGCTGCCAAGTGTCAGGAACTGTGTTTGTAAATTATGAGGGTGATGCAAAGAGCGAGGTGGGGGTGATTTCATGTTTTTCCTTCCAATTTAATTCAGGTTCCTTCATGTGGCAACACGCTCAATGTTACAATGTGCACCTTATGCAACAGAAAGACATGTACCAAAGAGAGTAAGGTAAAAATATGGTGACTGCCAACCTCCAAAACCATAAAGTACACAAGAGCATTTATGGTCCTGGAAGGAAAGRACCTAACACTAACACACAGTCATCAATGTCAAACTTTGGAGGCAGGGTCACAACCCACCAGTCTAATCTCCCACATAATACACAGGCCACAAACCTTCACTCAGAAATATAATTTTAACAACTATCTTTTAATCTTATAAAATATTTCATTTACTCATACTTTAAAGACTGTATTGACCACTTTATTCTTCCCCTTACAAGCTATTCAAGCTTTCAGTTGCTTTCCTTGCCAGACAATAAAGATTAATTTCAAAGTTGAATCTGCTTAAATTTAGCTGCTAATCCCTGGATTTTGACACACTTTCATTAGAAAATTATGTATGATCTGGTCGAAAATCTTTCCAAAGAAGTCTGTGAAGAGATTAAGCCAACACTCAAATGTCTCTTTTATCAACTGAATAAATACTACCCCTAAATTCTGACCTTTTTCTAGCCCTCCTTGAGTCCTCTTTGGAATTCATCCTTCCTAAAAATCCACCTATCATAACTGCGTGCCCACAATTACAACCTCACTCCCCTTTTTTTACTGGCTGTTGTCCTGGCACATCCCAGGCTCACAGTTACTACTGCACTGTACTGCACAAATAGCATCAAATGGGAATAATTTGTGCCCTGCACAGCACCCTCCTTTCCCTGCACAGCACTGCTCTGCAGCAGCAAGTGGAGCCTGCATTTTCATTTCCTAGATGTATTGCCTTGTAGTTATACCATTAGTTATACAAAAACCCCATCTCTTTTGGGGTAACAACATTTAATTAAWAGAGTTCAATTATTTGTTTACTGTCTCATCTATCCCCAGAGTTTGCACATTTCACTGCCAAGGGTTTTAGCYGGTCATTCACCATTTACATTACTGTCGAGAAGAGAAAAATCAGAATATTTATTTTGGATTTTCTCGGATTGGGAGCACTTAATGTTGCAGCTTTTGTTGTTCTTGTGYCTGCCTGCCTCACAGTTTCTGTTGGGATACA